TGTGTGTGTGTGTGTGTGTGTGTGTGTGTGTGCGTGTGTGTGTGTGTGTGTGTGTATGTGTCTGTGTGAGCTTGGCATGGCTGCGAATATGATGATCATAATAAAAAAGTGCAGTAACCAATTCAGAGACAAGGGGAGAACTTTAGCCTGTGAGCTGCAGGAGAGGAACAGCCGCAGGGCAACATTTTTGACATCACACATTTCATTGAGAGACAAGTTAAAATCTTAACCGACCCAGTAATTGGAGACATTCAAGATGCTCCCTTCATAACACAAAATACTGGTTTAAACAGATCACAGCCTCACTCACATTTTGTAGGAACTGGCTTTCCCACCACTGTAGCTCTTGTAGAAAATGAAACCCAGACAGATACTGAATGGAAGGAACACATTCCGACAAAATTGAGGACATGTCTGTGCTGCGGAGGAGGTCACACCTTGGACTCGTGCCATCAACTTGAAAAAGGAACACACAATGAGAAGATGGGCTTCCTGATGGAAAAAGGTGTCTGTTTCGGCTGTTTGTGTGGGGGGCACATTAGCAGAAATTGCAATAAACTAATTTCCTGTTCAAAATGTGGCTTCAAACATCCAACCATACTTCACATCCCTTCCAATGAAGCAAGACACAATCCTGCTCTAGCCAAGAATACATCAGAGTTATCAGTGGACAGCACACTGGTTTCAAGTGGCCTTACCGGGGCTGGTGATGACAACTGTAAACTTCCCATAGTTCCAGTGCAAGTCAAGTCAACGAAAGGCAGCAAGATTGTCACCACCTATGCTTTCTTGGACCCAGGAAGTACAACAGTGTTTTGTACAGAGGATGTGATGCACAAGCTCTGCCTAACTGGAAAGAAGGCGCAGATTCTTTTACGAACCATGGGCCAAGAGAGGGTCGTAAATAGCCATATTGTGTTCGGACTATGAGTAGCTGGCTTAAAAAATGACAATTTCTGTGAACTGCCACAAAGCTACACCCAAGAGTGCATGCCTGCCAGCAGTGGGAACATTCCTAGACAAGCGGGCCTACAGAGATGGCCTCATCTAAAAAACGTTAATTTGCCTGAAATAAATGCAGGGATTGGACTGTTGATAGGAACCGATGTTCCTAAGGCCTTGGAACCATTGGAAGTCATATGCAGTGTGGAGGATGGACCCAATGCGAGCAGGGCAATCCTAGGCTGGACAGTGAATGGACCACTTAAAGGAGTGAGTGGGAATGCAATGGACTTTGACAAACCAGAAGTATCTGTGAACAGAATCTCAGTTGTGAATTTAGATGACCCTTGGCAACAGCAGTTCAGCACAGACTTCCCTGAATGCAGATTGGAGGAACAAGCTGGAATGTCAAGAGAGGATCTCAAGTTTATGAAGTTTGCGAAGAAAGTGTTTTCTCAGCAAGAGCAAGAGTCGAAGAAGTGTAAAAAGAAAAGTATTAAAGATGAGAAAAAGCCTCATCCCAAATCCCAACAACAGCCCTCTCCTTCAACGGCTGCTCAGAAAGGCGTCCACTGCAAGCAAAAGAAATGTAACAGCCACCGTGTTCAACAAGGTGGAGACTGTGGAGAACAAGATGAAGTGGACCAACGTGCTCTACAAGGCTGAAGAACTCGAAATCAAAGACGACGAGGACATGCTGCGCTCCTCGTTAAAGAAGGAGTGGGGCGATCGAAGCAAGAATATCGTGGAGAAGATGCAGAAACGGCAGGAAGAGACGGAAGAACATCCGACATCAGTGACATCTTTACCACAATATTGACTCTTTTCGACTGACAGACTTAAAGGACACTAAGGATTCTTTTTGACTGAGCCTAGGTGGTGGTACCTTTTTGCCAAACTGACTTGTGACTCGTATAAAGAAAGAAGAAGGAAAACTACACATGCATGAACTGCAACTGTATGGACTTGATTACCAAGCTATAATTGTCACATGTCTCCCATTGTAATAATGTTAGTAATTATTATGTATACTAACATAATAATTAGAGGCTGGTGTGTAGGACCCATGAAACGACACAGGGCCGTACTTTTTGTTGACCGCACGTTTTAATGATTTCTTTGATTAATATAACAATGTACATGTCCAAGGAAAATAAGTTGATCATCCCAGTTTTCATTAAACCACATTGTTTTTCTTCAGAGTTTTTGGTCTCAGCTAGTACTTTTTTGTAGCGTGTCACACAATATCTAACAGGCCCGGCCTCAGCCTCTCAGCGACTTTGTTTGTTTCCTGCTGTCGCTATAATTATTGTGACACGTGTTTTGGCACATTTTATGTTTTTATATTTGCATCCTTTCTGAAGCTGCAGCGTGTTTCTCCTATTGTAAATGTTCTTGGTCGTTATAAATGGTTTGCACCCGTTGGCCAGCATATAAACCTTTTATAAATCGAAATAAGTATCATGAATAATCATGAGTGAAATGTTTGGACAGAAAAGCTAGGCAGTAGAGAAGAGCAGATTTCTGACAACAATCTACTTCTAATGTGTGCTTGGAGTTTTCAAATTGGGCGAATACTTAGTGAACTGTTAATATGACACTATATTTCCCCAAGGCTCAGTGTTGTTTATTTCTCAGTCCATAGTGACGGTGGGGGCGGCGGCCGGCGGCCTGCTGGGCGGATGGATGGTGGAGAAGTTCGGCCGGAAGCTCAGTCTGATGTTCTGCTCACTGCCGTTCGTCTTCGGTTTCACCATGATCATCGCAGCTCAGAACGTGTTCATGCTGTACGTCGGCAGAGTGCTCACCGGCCTCGCCAGCGGGGTCACCTCACTGGTGGTCCCGGTAAGTAGCACCGGCACGCTTTCCAACACCTAAAGGAATTGATTATCATTTGTATTGAGAACAGAAAAAGAGCACATGTTTGGAGAAGCTGGGGTCAAATAATGTTAATCAATGAATTGAATAATTGTTCTAGCAGAAAAGTAGTTTCACTGTTGTTTCTCTCCATGCCCTACAGAGGGAAAGAAAGCTAATGGCTAGTCAGCAACAAAGTGCAGCTGCCTGAAACAGTATGAATGATTTTCAACCGAAATACTCCAAATGCTTTTCTATCATTTTATATTGGTGAATGAGTGAATGAAATGAACACTCCCCGGTATCGCCTTTTTACTTCAGACGTTGTGATGTGAAAACATTCATATATAAGCAGCGGAACTGTCATTGATTCCAAATTGGGAAAATTGTTTTGTTGCAGCAGCAAAATATATAAATATATCCAATTCGACTCCAATCCAACTTTATTTCTATAGCACATTTAAAAACAGTTGACCAAAGTGTTGTACATCAATAAATATAAATATATAAAGAAATAACAGATAGGACATAAAAACAAATGTAGAACACAGGACAATAAAAAACATAGCCACAGACTGAAAACTCACATACGTGACGTAAAAACAATATAAAGCCCCAATTTAAAAGTCTATGTAAATATATGCAGATTAACAGTAAGGCAAGGCAAGACAAGGCAAGTTTATTTATATAGCAATTTTCAACACAAGGCAATTCAAAGTGCTTTACAACAATGAAAGAAATTAAGAAAAAGGCCTTTTAAAATCAGTCATTAAAAAGAAAAGTTAATAAAATAAACATTAAAAGAAAAAAAAATACATGGATAAAAGTTACAGTGCAGTTTAAGATGTGAATAGTTCAATTAAAAGCAGCGGCAAAAAGAAAAGTCTTCAGTCTGGATTTAAAAGTAGTAAGAGTTGCAGCGGACCAGCAGGTTTCTGGGAGTTTGTTCCAGATGTTTGGAGCATAATAACTGAACGCTGCTTTACCATGTTTAGTTCTGACTCTGGGGACAGAAAGCTGACCAGTCCCTGAAGACCTGAGAGATCTGGATGGTTCATAATTTAGCAGGAGGTCAGAAATGTATTTTGGGCCTAAACCATTCAAAGCTTTATAAACCAGCAGCAGTATGTTGCCTTTGTTTCTGCTAAAAGAGGTGTCGACCAGCTGGGGCAACAAGAAAATCTAGCGAAAATCCGAGTGTGACTATTAAAAAAATAAAGCATTATTATATTAATATTGACTATAACAACCGACCATCGGGGTAGCATTTGCTTGGCACTTCCGGGTATTTCTCCACTGGTTGGGCCATGTTAACAATACCGTGTAACTGTCACGTTTGAAGGGACAAAATCGTGACATCTCCACGTCTCCCAGCATGGTAAATCGTCACATGTTCACGTTTTGCTGTGATACCGGGTTGCCTGGGAGAGACATCAAAATGAGTGTGAGGCAAAAGCAGGCAAAGTTGTCANAGACCGATGGTTCATAATACGCAGGAGGTCAGAATGATTTGGCCTAACATGTCAAGCTTCTAAACCAGCCCAACAAATTTTGAATCTATATTAACACAAGGAAGGAATGTAAAGCGTCAGAACAGGAGGATGACACTTCTTATTAGTGAGGGCTCGAGCAAGCGGGAAATCACTGCAGCTTTCCTACATAATTTTAGTGAGAACTAAGACACCATTGCAGAGCCCGTCACTGAAGATAAAAGCATGACACGTTGTCCAATCTGCTGTGACATTAGTCTTCAATCCTAATAATGTCTCTTTAGGGATAGTAGGCGCCTATTTATAACTGTTTTAATGTGACTGCTTGAAACCTCAGGTCAGAGCCATGACTACACCTAGATTAGAAAAGTAGGGCCCAAAAATGTAAGTCCTATAAATAAAAAAAACAGTAAAAATCCACTAATGACATAGACTTCACAATAAACACGTATATAAAATAGGTACAAATAAGAATAACAAAAGTATGCAATAGCCGTTTTTTTTATTAAAATGTGATTGCATTACAGGTATGTCTGTGGAATATTAGCACATCTGTTTGCGTTGTTATGCTGCATATTTATAAAAACATCAATAACTACATTCCAGATAACTTTTAAATGTGTCTCTTATACATATTTTTCCCCCGACAAATTACTTTAGAGCAGGGCTATTCAATTGGCGGCCCGCGGGCCAAATCCGGCCCCGGGGTGATATTTACTGGCCCTTTCAGTATAATGTTAAAAAGTAATCTACTTTCTTTTTTTTTAAAGATTTTTTTTTGGGCCAGAGTGCCTTCATTCCAGAGAGGGTGTTACATTGAGAGATAGAGGGGAAGACATTGCCTGAAAACTTTGGCGGGCTCGGGTTTCGAACCCACCTACTAGCTACTGTAGTGACAACTCCTGTCATTGATTGCATCTCTGCCTGAATGATTAGATCATTTCACCTAAATTAAATCAAATGAAATGATGTTGATGGTTAAATTAGCTTCACATGTAGGCTTACTGAGTTCTGAACTTGCCATTTAGATCTATAAAGACCTTGGGCCTATGTTGTTTGATTGAATTAAACAAAATATACGCACTCCACTATTTACCGTATCTGAAGCTCTTAATATGATTGCTCATATTTCAAGCCATCTTTTTCCCGGCCCCTTGCTTTGGATCATTTTCATCAACCGGCCCCCATTCCAAACTAATTGAATAGCCCTGCTTTAGAGCTTAAACATTTGGTAAGACAATTAATGTATTTACAGAAAATGAAATGTCAACTGTTCATGTATTTGATAAATATTGATATAAGTATTTTATAAAGCAACATTGCCAAACACTCTCTGCTTTTATAAATATAGAGCCTTTGCTAGGTTTTCTATTTTACATTATTGTTCTATCAAATAACAAAACAAGCATTTTGATGTGCTGGTAACTTTGGACCAATAATTAATTAATAAGTAAGTAAACAGCATCTGAATCAATAATAACGCAACAAAAAAATATTAGTAGTAATATACCTATGATTTTTGGCTATAGCTGCAACTTGTTTGTTTCTCTTTTACGCAGTTCGATAATGAAAATAGTTTGATAGTTAGATTGTGTGTCTTTGGGATCACTGAGCGTTCTCTGGTGTCATTTTCTCTTTGTCTCTCTTCATACAGCTGTATATCTCTGAGATGGCCCATGAGCGGGTACGCGGGACCTTAGGCTCCTGTGTGCAGCTCATGGTGGTGATAGGCATCATGGGAGTGTATCTCGCAGGTATGTCTCCTCAGCTTTATGTCTTTATGGCAGTGGCGAACCGTGTCTATCACACGGTTCGGTTCCCCCCCCCGCGGCATTATAATGTCAGTCTTTTCACTGAATTGTCGTCTTGAAAAGGGTACTCACAACAATTCCGAAACAACTTCATCTTCACCTGTTGCACTTGTCATTTCAACGTTAAAAACAATAACACGGCATGAATTGCTTCGTCGCATTCATCTGTCTCGAGCCAGTTAACTAGCGGGCCTTCTAGACTACCCTGGAACCGAGGGAAACTCTGAAAGAATACGCCCATTGGCTACAAATCAATATATGATTGGTTGATCAAACTGTCAGTCCAAACGTACGCTCTCATTCAGTGCTACGGCCAGGGCATTCTATCAAGGATATAGAATACCTTGGTTGAAGGATATTCTACCCAGAGACCCAGAACAAGATCTGATTGGTTGCTTTCTTTTCTAACACAAAACCACTGAAATGCGTAGTGCATGGTCTGAGAAGGACAAACAAATCAACGTAACACTGTAATATTACAGTTCAACAACACAGATACGATTCTCATTTATTCATTTTATATACATTTTATTTATATAATTAAATCGATTTTTTGTTTGTTTTATCTGAGTGTTCCAGGGTATTCTCTGAATACCTTGAAGGCCCTGACGGTTCGCCACTGCTTTATGGAGTCCTTCAATCTCATTTAATAAAGTCTGACTACAGGATATTGAAACTTGCTGAATGTTTAAGAAACAGAAGTCGCACGAGGTCACATTTTACAAGCTGTATATCATTAACTTCCAGCGTATGACAGTAGCTGCAAAATACATAGCTACAAATCTTATCTCAAAGTGTGTAATCGGTCGTTCTGGTTATTATCTGTATTCATTATCTTCTCTAAATACCTATGTAAACTTGCTTGGTTAAAAATGTCCTGAGGTTGCTATACTGTTTCAAACGTCTGGTTCAAAGGTTGTGGTGCATCATGTGACGTCCTCAAATATGATCGGAGTCCCGTGCTGCCTCTTCTACAGCCTCACTGACCTGCCGCTCGCTAATCTTGTTAGCCGCATGCAATTCACTTTGACCCAATAGAAGATGTGTGTCCCATGACATGGGTTGTCTCCTGTGAGAGGACATGTATATATTATGTCGTTTGCCCTTTAATGTGTCACACATTTGGTATTATTCAATGTGATATAAAGGAATCCAATTTTCACAGTAGTAACGGTTTGGTAGTTTTCAAACTAGGAACACGAATTGGAATCTAATTTTGTCCCATGCCAGCTGCTGTTCAGCACAAAGGTGAACACTGTGGTTGTTGAAAAGCCAGTGGAACAATCAGATCGGCTGGCAAATGTATTTTTGGATGCAGCAGATGAAGACGGCCGTGACTGGACAAGGCTCCTCTTTGTCCTGCAGCCTTCAGTCTGACACGCACACAACTGGGGGGAAAAACTCGATACTTGGTCCAACAATTTGAAAATACAGACAAGAAGGAAAGAAGGAAATTCAGGCAAATTAAGTCCCTTTTGTAGGAGATAATACCTTGTCCATTGCCAACATTGGCTGCGAAAAAAAACTAAAACACTAAAAGATGTGCATCGCAAGGGCTCCCTCAACAAAAGTTAAAAGGTTTTTTCAATTACATTTGGGAATATCTCACAAATAAGCTCTTTGACAAAAACACTTTTATATTTACACATTTTGCTCTGCAGGATAATCTGTACATATTAAAACAAGTTTTATGATTTTTTTTTTTTTAAGCGTAAAGCCAATTATCAAAAGTACAACGCTAACGCTAGGCTATACATGAACTGCATCAATGTCGCACGGTTGCACATCTAAGCTAAAGGCGGCTAATGTTCGGAGTGATTTCGTTTAGTAGTTTTATTTGTTCACCAGAATAATCTCACAGATTAATAGTACATATTAATCACCAGAAGTTAAATCTAACGTTATAAACAAACAACATCACGTCGCAACGGCTTCGCATCTCCACCGCTAAGCTTAAGGCGGCTAATATTGTTTGCGTGATTACTTTTAGTAGTTTAATTTAGCCACTGCTTCTAGCAACCACTCTTTTTAGGACACATAGAAGCTTCAGAGTTCAGACATTCACAAGTGGGATATTTACTGATGTATTTTATGTCTTTGAACATCATTTAAAAATACCTTCAGCTTGTGTTGACAACAAACCATATGTCATGCCTTCACTCAAAAACACCTTCGAAAAATGTTCAGATTAGCTAACTGGAAGTGTTAGAATGCTAACTCATTTCTGGGATATAAAACTCATTCCTGCACCACTATCTTCTGAGCTGTGTGACCTCGTCCTGCAGGGCTCTACCTAGACTGGCGCTGGCTGGCAATCTGCTGCTCCATCCCGCCTACGCTGCTGATGGTCTGCATGTGCTTCATGCCAGAGACGCCGCGCTTCCTTCTGTCACAGGGCAAGAGGCGGGAGGCCGAGGAGGCGCTGCGTTTCCTACGAGGCCCGGACGCCCCCATCGAATGGGAGTGCGCCCGCATCGAGGACGCCTGTAATGAGGAGGTGAGTCTGGAGAGTTTTTACAATGATTTTTGGTCTATCCATGAAGAACATTTATGAATGAAATGTCTCACTGATGGTTTTTTAAAGCGTTTGGTCAGTGAGAACATGTGTGTTTCCTCTCAGGGCTCTAGATTCCAAATGTCTGACCTGAAAGACCCTGGAGTCTACAAGCCTGTGATGATCGGGGTCATGTTGATGATATTTCAGCAGATGACGGGAATCAACGCCATCATGTTCTACGCAGAGAACATATTTGAACAGGCACATTTTAAGGTGAGAAGGCTTTTATCTTTGATTTATTCCAACGGATAAATCACAGATTATAAATAAAATGTTTGTTCCTGTGGAAATGTGGTTTTGTGACAGTTAGTCGATTTGCAAAGAAGTAAATAAAAGATAGGATAAAATATTTATATAAACATAAGAAGATAAAGTATTAATTAAAAAGTGACAAACTAATCTATCATCATCATTCTAAACATTACAAATGAAAGTAAAATGTAGACTAAAAGATACTTTACAATTAAAAATACAAACAGTTATATCAACCTGAGAAGTAATAATGTGAAAATTAGCATGTTTATTACTTTATATTAAATAAAAACTGTATTTGTGCTCCTGTTCTGTCCTCTGTCGCCGTGAGAAAAGGTTTTAATGTAATGATTGATAGCTATGTGCTACGCAAAGCAAAATAATTGAAATCATTGTTGGACTTTTTTCCAGGAGTAGTTCCACATTGAGAGAGCCTGTTATTCCCTGGTCAGAACTTGATGATATGTTTAAAGAGGCCCGATTATGCTTTGGGGGTTCTCCCTTTTCCTGTAGTGTGTTACTGTATATAGGTTTTTCTGCATTCTTCAAAGGCTAGAGGGGGTTTCAGAGGGGGTTTCTCTCCCACACACTCCCCCCCCTGTCTGAATCACCTCCATTGGACTCCTTTGTTTTACTTCTGTAACATAGTGACATGTCAAAAAATATAATTATGAAACGTGAACATTTGTGTAATATTGCCCCCCTTAAGGATATACTGAAAAATATTGTTTCTGATTATAAATAAAAACAATATACAACAACTAAATCTAAACGCAAACAAAAAGTAATGATTTGACTACATTTCAATCATAAATCCCTTTGATTTGTTGGTACATGAAATTGTAATTCATACCATGTATGATGTATATGTTTTTTTAAAGCGTCAATGTGAATGTGTTGTTGTTTCTCAGGAGAGTGACCTGGCCTCGGTGATCGTGGGTCTGATTCAGGTGGTCTTTACGGGAGTGGCCGCGCTGATCATGGACAGAGCTGGAAGAAAAATCCTTCTCATCATCTCAGGTATTTTCAATCCAACTTCATACTTTAAACACATATGTGACAGCACTCTAATACACCCTCCCTGCTTGGAGGAAATAACATTTGCCTTTAGTTTTAGTAACATTATGTAATTTTGAAAATAACAACTAGGAGGCAATAATTCATGCATTTTTCCCCCGCATTCTGTAAAACAATATTGCAGGGCTGATTACAAAATGCTGGGGTTAAACAAATGTTTTATGAAGATGTAATAATGCCATATGAATAATTATAAGCAACATGGATTCTTGACCTGCATAAAGCATTGTTTAACACACTAAGATCATATCTATCTGGTCCTTCTCAAAGTGTTTGTATAAGTAATAAAGTGTAGGCAATCAAACCATGATCAGTGCTACAAGGCTCCATTTTGGGACCACTGTTGTTCAGCAATTATATTAATGAATATCAGTTTTTGAGGATGTGGACATTCAGATATATTCTATCAACACGGTCAATCCTGTAATAATCAAATACAAACCGTGTATCCACAGCTTGGTGTGAATGGATAAATGATCAAAAACTTAAATCACAAAGCAAAAAGATCAAAATACAGTCAATGTACCACAATCCTAAGAAACTCAAGAGATGCAAAATCATCAGAAGTTCAAATAACAAAACATCCATCAATGATTTAAATAAAATGAGGGCTCATTGCTTAAACATTTGTAGTGAGTGTGGGTCCTTCAACACTCTGAAAATAGTCCAGTTCAATATAAGGTGGATATAGGTGTTTATGAATACAGAGTTCAGAGTGTGGCGTTTGGGTGCAGGTTAGAGTGTAAGGTTTTGGGGGGATTGGAGGAGAAAACCTGGAAGTGGCAGAGAAAAACTTACCTAGAGGTCCAGGCAGGCCGTGGAAGATCCCAGAGCATCACATGCAGGTCAAAAGATGATTAATTGTATTCATCCCACCAGCTCCCGGGGTAATGTGTTTTCAAAAGTACAGCCTGGTTGACCAAAAAAGTCCCCAAAAATGCAGCTAGGTTAATAAACTGGATCAGACTCCCACTTCTTTCCTCTTTCAGCATTTTTTCACAGCCCTCTCATCTCCTTTGTGCAACTTTCAGCAGTCATCTCCTTTCCTCTTCAGCTCACAGGTGTGGCTTATTTGTCAAAATAGCTTCCTCCAGCTCTCAGGTGTGGATTGTTTAGCCCCTCCCCTTTATGATCAGGGAAGGAATCTTTTTTTATGTTGCCCCTTCCTGCTACCAGCGTAGTAGAAGAGTAGGGTTTGAAATATTACCTGCACAGCTATTTTTACCAAATGATCATAACAGACTTTGCTTGTTTCCCATTCATAATCAAGGTGTTGCCATGGCGATCAGCACCACAGCGTTCGGGGTTTACTTCTACCTGGTGTCTAAAAATCACCCCCCCACACTGGGACTCTTGGTGCTGGACATCCAGAGCACAGCGGGCGAAGAACCCCATGCTGACCTGGCCTGGCTGGCCCTGGCCAGCATGGCTGTCTTCATCACAGGTGAGACCCTGACTCCCTGACACAACTCTAACCCTGTCATTAAAGGCTCCGACACACAGAACAAGCGCCAAAGAGCAAGTTTAGACATGTTGTGCCTGATTAAATTGTCTGGATATTGATAGATATTGCATTACAATATGCTGATGATTGTGATTTCCAGGGTTGTAAGAAGTAATCAGATCCTTTACTTTGGTAAAAGTACTAATACCCTTCTGTTAAAATACTCAATGTATTTAAAGCCATGCATTTAGACTTTACTGAAACTAAAGTATTTAAATTATGATAATAATAATAATAATTCATTACACTTATTAGAGTGCTCAAAGCGCTTTATATTACATATTACACATATCAGACATACAATTAAAGGGATACTATTGTGCTTTTGGGGTTTTTTCCCTTTCCTGTAGTGTGTTATATAGGTTTTTGTGCATGCAAACGGGGCTAAAATCCCTGTCCCTTTATGAACATTAAAGCATGTAAACATGTCACAGTAGAGGCACAAAATAAAAATGTCCACCTGAACATTTGCAGAATTTTTAATCCACAGCAATGCATCATATTCCACTAGATCATCATATGTTTATAGCGTTCCTGTGAGAACTATACATTTCTTCTCAGAAAAGCCTTCTTTATCTAAATTATGGCCATGCTTTTCCTAGCTAATCCAAGAAGCTTTTGAATGAGCTTGAAAAAAAGGATAATTTTAATAAAGGAACGCTTTATTATCACAGATATTCAAAATCTAACTTCATATAATCACAAGTTGCATACAATTTGAAATGGACTAGTATGTCCAGTTTGTTTTTAAAGGTCCCATGTCATGGCCATTTCTACTGATCATAATTCCATTGTTGAGGTATACTAAAATAGATTTACACTGTGCAATTTTCCAAAATCACATTGGTTTCTCATACAGCATCTCTGTATAGTATGTGTATTCACTCTCTGTCCTAAACGGCTTGTTGAAGCTCCTGCCCCCCCCTCCCTGTGAGCCCAGTGTGCTCTGATTGGTCGAGAAGCTGACAGGCTCGTTGCTGCTCGCACACACACACACACTGCTGCGGGAGCAGACAGGCTCGGCGATACAGCGAGAACAAGCTAAACTCATCCTGAGCTCACACAAACACTCACAGGCGAAGTAAAAACAATAAGTGTGGCTTGATATTGAGTAAGAAATAGGTTTATAACGCTGTGAGAATGGGTCTGCGGACAGCATTTCGCCGCGATCCCAACGTAGTAGCCCGAAAAACGTTTACCCATTGAAACAGTCGTTGTAGATACCTTGTTTGTTTTAAACATCATAAATACACAAACAACAATGAATACTTACAGGTTGTGTACCCGAATCTCCCGCTGGTCCAAACAAAGTAGGAACAGCATTGTTCTTCAGTGCCCTACGCTGTACTAATCCGGAATGAATCGCTGAAAGGTTTGGGAAGCTTTGTTTCGTGAAAGGCTGGCAGAGGGTGCGGCCATAGCTCTGGGCGTGGCTACTGGGTATCCCCACGTACTAGCGATACCCAGGAAGTAAATGAGAAATCTCCAACGAGGCGTTTTGGGGAGGTATTTTCTGTGTTAGAGTTTTACTCGCTACAGGGTGTACTTTGAGGGGTTTTGACTCTGTAGATCGTTTACATGCATAAAAACCTTCATAACACACAAGGGGACGGGTAATAACCGGAAAAGCATGACATGGGACCTTTAAGCCCTTGGTTGAATCTTTAATTGTTTCCTTGCACCACTGGGAATATTTTAGTTTAGAACATATCCACAATATTTTAGTGTGTGCCTCCACAGGTTGCACGATATTAATAATCGCTGTTGTGTTCAGGTTTCGCTCTCGGTTGGGGTCCCATCCCGTGGCTGATTATGTCGGAGATCTTCCCGTACAAAATTAGGGGGGTGGCCAGCGCAGTGTGCGTCCTCACCAACTGGAGCATGGCTTTCATCATCACCAAAACCTTCCAAGACATGATGGTGAGTGATCAACAGCACTCTATTTCAAAATAGATCTTTGGGACATTTTATGTTTTTAATGGGAAGCCAAATAGAATGGGTAAAGATATATATATGTATATTGTATATTTGTCAAGTTGTTTAGTGATCATGAGCATGTTTTCCGGAGGTCATTTTGTGTATGCTATACAGGCAATAGATACACATAAATGACAGGACAGTATGATGAGATGACAGTCCCAGCCGAAACAAACAAAAGTTCAAATGAAATTAAATAAATAACAAAAGACAAAACGGAAGTGTTTGTGGTGCGAAACCTGAAATAAGGTCTGTTGGTAACACAAGCTGAAGAGATTTTCCACGTTTTGTTCTACGACATAAAATACGTCAGTAAATACTCCACTTGCGAACGTCCGAAGCTTCTCCGTGTATCATAAAAAGGAGGTTGCTAACGGGTGAATAAATGGGACTACTAAACGTCATCACGCCGACCCAAGTCTGCCTTTAGCTTAGCGGTGGTGATGTGCAGCCATGCCAAAAATACATCATCACTGCACCACTCTTATGTGCATATCATAATTATTGTTCCAAATAATCTCTTCGCTGGTATTGGCCCATTGTTATGGTAATATATACTTCTGAAAAATGTGCTATTTTTTACAGGACGCATAACTTATTGGATATAGTCAACAAAAGCTCTATGATCCTGATTATTTCATCTTGACAGAAAAACATTATAAACATTTAATCTCTTAATCTATGACATGATTATTCAAGTAATTTATTCGTTTCACTTTAACCAATTTGAGGAATTTGTTGCTTCTCAGTTTCATATCAACGTAAAATTATCTTCGTTTGGTTTTGAACATTGGTCCTACAAAATAAAAAAAGATGTCAGTCTGGAAAATGCAAAAAATAAAATGAGTTTTTAAAGTTAACTGACATTTTATAATGTTAATAAAAAAAGGAATTTGTATGTGTTTTGGTTAGAGCTTCACGATAAAGAAAAATATAAATCATTGCAATTATTTGGACTGATATTGCCGTTGCGATTCGCAATATCGGAGGAAATAGTCATTTTTGAAACATTATTCACAATATTGTTGAAAAATAATATGAAATAATATTTTCTTTAGACAGGATCTGTACCAAACAAGGATTTTTTTATTAAGTCTGTAGAATGCCTTTTCATACTTTATGAAATATTCCATCCAGAAATATATTTTCACTTATTTACTTATTTACCAAAATATTATGTTTGCTATGATTTGGATATTGCACTAGTCCATATTGCGATTTCGATACAGTTGTGAATCATTGGGCAGCCCTTGTTTTGCTATCTACTGTGAAACAATGCAAGTTTCCTCTTTGAACTTTTCCAACATCTGCATCTAACTGTGACCTTTTCCAGAGTCTTCTGAGCAGCGCAGGAACCTTCTGGCTCTTCGCCTCCATGTGCACCGCCAACGTCATCTTCACCATCGCCTTTGTCCCAGAGACAAAGGGCAAGACACTGGAGCAGATCCAAGCCATCTTCAGAGGGACGTCAGGTCCATGAAGGCCCTCCTGAAGAAACACACATGACATAAACTGAAAAGTCCCAGACCTTCTATATCTGGGCTGACTAATGCTCAGGACTCTTCGCGGGAATTTAAACTAATTATTTTCAGTCAGTATGATTTAAAGTTAAATTCATAAAATAATTTTTTTCAAGGATTTATTGGAAAGTTGTTATAACAACTGTAATATGTAATGAATGTCACAATGTGGGCGAACGCGTTACAACGGCCCAAAACACTTCCATTAGGAGTAACGTGTTGCAATTAAAAAAAATAATGCAAAAAACCCCACAAATGTGACAAAACACATGCAAAATAAGAACCATCTTCAACTTGACAGCACATGCCCAGCATTTTGAAAACCTTCACCAACTTGAGGAAACATGCAAAGGGTTTACTAAAAGCAGATGCAAAACACTGCAAATAAAGAAAAAAAGCTGTTTCCATTTTGTTTTGAGCTTCTTGCAGTGATTCGTTTGTGCAGCGATTTTAAGAAACTCTGCGTATGTTACGTCAAGTTGGCAAAGATGTTTCTTCCTTTGGATGTGTTTTGGCACTTTAGAGTGTTTATATTTACATCGATTTTCAGTGCAGCGCTTTTCTCCTTCCTCTGATTTGGACCGCTGCAGCGTGTTTGCGCGGATCGTCCACTGTAGAATGTTTTACATATTGCTTTCTAAAGGTGTTTTTTAACAAAATTCAACAGATGCAGTGTCTTAATGTATTACATTGTGTCAATTGTTTTACATCATTTGGTGTTTTTAGATAATGTGTTGGTTTTATTGAAATAATTCAGATCATGTTTACAGGGTGTGGTTTATGGTTGAACTGTATTGATTTTTAATGAAGTCTGTTTCTAATATTTTGTATATGAGTGAGGTGAGATTACACTAAACTCATCTCTTAAGCGTTGACCAATCACAACAGAGCCGGCCAGCTAACCAATCAAAGCAGACTGGGCTCTGGTTTCAGACAGAGGGTGAAAAGAGGTGCTGCAGCACAGGCAGTATGAGAGGAATAAAGAGCTTTTTGAACAGTAGAGACACTAAATACTCAATAGGCCACTTTCATCAACCTTTAGGAGTAACGCAATACATGTAACACGATTATAAAAAAAGACTTGAACAGATAATCGAGTACTGGCAATTTATTTTACCAACAAATAAAATGTATAGGTAGATGTACAGCGCATCAACAGGTGCTGTAACGATTGACACATGTATCTTTAAAATGTCACACAACATGTTAGACATCATGTTCAGAATATCAATATTTCTGATTATGTTTTTGTAAGAATATCTCTCAGAAGAGTCGGGCAAACCGACCCTGAGAATTAGCACTTACGCTTTAAGAAAAAATTCAGTTTTCTATCAGAGCACAGCAAATCTTCTGAAGGAGTTCCCGTGTCAAGAGCATACTCGGCGTATTCAACATATTTTCACTCTGATGTGTAATATGAAGTGCTCCTCTTCGGCGGAGTGACTTTCTGCAAGGTCATAAGCTCTCTCACTCGAGAGTCCTTTTCACAGCGTTTAAAAACGGCTCCTGACACTTTCATTTGGATAATAACGGATAAAAAGATATTTTTTCATTTTTCTGAAGAACTCCATGTTACACTCTTTCAACAATTGGATAAGCATTAAATTAAACATGAAATCCTGAGTGGCTCTACTCGATGGTCGTGAGTAGTGCGATGCATTCAAGGCCATCTCAAAACCGTGTCCTTTTTTATTTTTTAAACGAGACAAGAGATCAAGCTGTGGCTGACATTAAAATGGGAGACAAAACAAATATGTCTGCCTGTAATGCATCAATAACATTTGAGTAACCTCAGTGTTAATTAAAGAGCCGCCGCCAATGACACCATTGAGAAGAGATGAGAAGATGATTCATATAGTGTGGATACTACTGCAAAAACATCTATAAGAGCCCAACATTAGCCACCTTTAGCTTAGCGGTGGTGACGTGAAGTCATGTGACCGTGCTGTAGTTCCTTTATAGCCCGACATTAGCTTCCTTTAGCTTAGCGGTGGTGACGTGAAGTCATGTGACCGTGCTGTAGTTCCTTTATAGCCCGACATTAGCCTCCTTTAGCTTAGCGGTGGTGACGTGAAGTCATGTGACCGTGCTGTAGTTCCTTTATAGCCCAACATTAGCCGCCTTTAGCTTAGCGGTGGTGACGTGAAGTCATGTGACCGTGCTGTAGTTCCTTTATAGCCCAACATTAGCCACCTTTAGCTTAGCGGTGGTGACGTGAAGTCATGTGACCGTGCTGTAGTTCCTTTATAGCCCAACATTAGCCGCCTTTAGCTTAGCGGTGGTGACGTGAAGTCATGTGACCGTGCTGTAGTTCCTGAACTCAACATATAAGTATCATAAATGTGTGCCAGCCTTGATCTCATTTTCTGCAAACTTCCGAATTCCTATCTAAAAATCCCATGTATTTTTCATGAAGGGAACAAAGAAGAAGCTAACTTCAAGGTTTGATACAGAAATATGTCTACCCTGCATTTCTCTCTTCAGGAGAGTCTTTGGACGGCAGCAGGAACAGAAGCTGTTCACGTCAGCTGTGATTTGGAGTCCTGGGATTACAGCTGGCACATCATGTCCAGGATATGTCTTTATTATGAGCAGAGCTCCATCACTGTACTGTTGCTACAAGAGGATAAAGTTCACTCCTTCTTATCAGGACTGTAATTCTTGATAGCCATGCACACATCTGTCAACATTTCCATGGAGGATTATGTGTCCGGCCTGCAGACTGTACTGTAGTGGAGTCTATTTAAAGAGCGACGTGTCTTATGATGGATTATTTCTCAGCATGCAAACATGGAAAGTATGAAACGCCATTTCCTTTGAGCAGAGAGGTTGAGTCTCGGTGCTGTCCTAGAAAAGTTGTACTGTTATATATTTAGTACAATCACTTCGTTTTTTATTTTTCATCGCTTATCTATACTTTACATCTGAATATTTTTTACACTTTTTATGACTATTTTATTTTATTTATTCCACATTTTAACTTTATTTTCATATGTTTATATATAATATTATTTAACGTTTTTAAATGCACATTTTTTTACTTTACATCTTATATTTCAATAAATGTTTGTATTCTATTATATTTATCCGTTATAGGATATTTTATTTTAACTTCTTACATTTATATAAAAAATATCGATATTGTTTATATTTGATATTTTTATTGTATTTTTTTCTAAAATCGAGTCAAAAAACCCTATTTCAATAAAATGAAAATATTATTTGGTTTCCCTTAAACTAAATATTTACACTGAGGCAAGTGAGAATTTTTAATTTCTCAAAAATTACATTTGGATATTCTCAATGGACTCCCTGAACGGATTATACGTAATACAAACACTTAAATTGCAAAATGACAAGAAATACATCTTTAATTTATTTCAAAAAATGCCAAAACAACAGTTTGAACTCCTAAAAACACTCGATAATCCGTTAGACATGAAAATAAATCAATCTCGGGAGGCTGTGGCGCAGTAATGTAATGTAATCTCAGGAGGGCTACTTCAACTTGCATGCTGAAACCTGAAGGATGAACATATTGAACCTGAGAAGAAGCCACAGTAGAGGCAGTGAAAAGAACCAGGTGACACCCCGAGGTGAACAGTGAAGAGGAGCCTGTTTCCAGCTGTACTGTAAACGCTTTTATTCCTGCTTACTTTCACTGGCATCTTTAAGAGCTCATTGCATTAATTACAAGACAGTAAACAAGGTATTTCTGGACCAGAACCCTCTACCTATAAACACATTACGCTGGTTTTCCACCACTTTTATGCAGACTGCGTGTGTCATTAAACCTTACGTTCTAAGATACACACAACATTAAGAAGAAGGCTTTGTTTGGATTGAGGGAAAGTGAATATGGGATTCATCTGTATACTCAAAGCAGGGGTGGGCGATGTTGAAAAGTATATTATCACGATATTTTTCAAGCAGTATCACGATAGACGATATTTATTATGTTGTTTCATGTCGGTTATTATGGTTATTTATCAAGTTACTTAACAGAACAACCACCTACAAGGTAACAGTAACTAAAACAAAAAGGAGTAACAGACCAAAATAGCATTTCAAGCTGGTTTTAATTCTGAAATGAATCCCTGAATGAACAATTCAACATTTTGATATGGCTTCAAGGCACAGTTTCTCAGTATAAAAATGAACTTTAAGTAAAAGATCAATGAGGAAAAGTCAGTGCCAAACAATTCAAATGTAAACTTTAGACTTGAAGTGCAATAAAAGACTTTAGCATAACTGAAGGGAAAAACTATATAAATACCTTATTGATAAAATAAAATATAAGCCAACAGAATCAAACAAGACAATAAATAAAGTGCAATACTGTCTGAATCCTGACTAGACAGCTTTAGAGCATGTTTTTCACTTCAGTTTAGTTTTTTTATAGTTTTTTTTTTCCCCAAAAAAAATTCCCAATTTTTTTTTTTCCAATTNAGCACTAGCAGTGAACATCAATAAACATGAAAAGGAGGGTAAAACATAACTAAGTAAAAGATCAATGAGGAAAAGTCAGTGCCAAACTATTAAAATGTAAACTTTAGACTTGAAGTGCAATAAAAGACTTTAGCATAACTGAAGGGAAAAACTATATAAATACCTTATTGATAAAATAAAATATAAGCCAACAGAATCAAACAAGACAATAAATAAAGTGCAATACTGTCTGAATCCTGACTAAACAGCTTTAGAGCATGTCTTTCACATCAGTTTATTTTATTTATTTATTTTTTCCCCCAAAAAAAATTCAAAATTTTTTTTTTTCAATTATTATTATTTTTTTTTATCACGATAGACACGATATCTCTGAAAAAGCATATCGTGGAGACCTAATATCGTCACGACGATATATATCGTGATATCGCCCACCCCTAACTCAAAGTTAAATGTTTCCCCTTGAGGCTTAAACACTGCTTCATACAGAGGAGCATCCCAATGGGGGGGTTGTACATCTACATTTATTTGTATGTTTTTCTGCAAAACATACAAATAAAAAGACCTGATTGTTGTGTTATTTATCCCAAAAGAAAAAACAATAACCCTCATATCAAATCCGGAGAAGTTTGATGTTAAAAAAATTACAGTAATTAGACATAATGGTGATTTTCTTTCTTCCAGTATCAACTTATGGAGTGAGATAAAGCACTGGGAAATGTTATCCTGGAGTATTTGATCATATGCACAATATTTCTTAATCTTAAATTTCATCCTCCTCGAATAATTCAACATACTTAAAAAATACATAAAATCGTGAAATAGACGTTAGACCAACAGTCGAAAGGAGAACATGTTCATGCTCTTGGTTTAATTCCAACATGATCCGTAAGCTGAGCGGTTCAATGTATTCTTTTTGCTGCTGTATTCCTTCATCTTTTCACTTGTCGCTGGAGCCTTGATGTCTGCGTTCGATATGAATGCATCTTCTACATGCCTTTGCTCTTGGATACCGTCTAGCACAGAGCACTGAGCTTTATTACAGATATTAAAACCCTTGAACGCACCATTGCTCCTTGTATGCTCGTGTTATGATCTGCCCTGACCACCTGTAGACTAAACCATTGGCAAATCCATATTTATACGACTGTTCGTGGTATCTACGGATTTATGTCCTAAAGTATGGGAACTCATCGACTTCCATCAGAGGACTTGCTTTTACTTACTGTCCTTGAAATGAACCCTGATAGATGCTTTCTATGATTTGTTGTCTCTTGTAAAAGATCTCAATGAGACTTCTTCTGGTTAAATAAATGAAATACAGAAACCAACAAAAGAGCACTGTCACTGAACACGACGTGAATACATTACACAAGCGTCCACACACACACACACACACAAAGCAGACGGTCTGTGGCTCTCATAATGTCGCTGCAGATAACGGTCCAACACCTTCCAAACAATGCTTCCTCTGGTCCAATAAAATCATAAAACGCCTCTGAGGCTGTTCCCCGTTCTGCAGCGTCTCTTTGAACTGGGTGAGGATGAGGAGCCGGCAGACGTGACCGTGTGAACAGCAACAGTCTGGTGCTAGACACCACTTTACACCGCTCTGAAATCACAGTTCAAAGTGCAAGCCTGGGAGAAAAATATGTTTCGGGAACGATGGGGAAGGAAAAGGATTACCGGATATGTGGCGCTTTATCGACAAAATGGCGGCGGATGGCATGGTTTCTGGCCAAGACGCGGGGTGAGAAAAAGAAGCGAAACCAATGCCAACGCCGGAGAAAAATCGAAGGAAAGAGAAAGGGGGCGATGTTTTGAAAACAAGCTTTGAATCGATGCACGTTTACAGTAACACAAAGACGTAAATGAAGCCTCTTTTGAAGACGTTTTTAACCAAAAGCACCGGGCACACAAACCGGCAATTTTCTCGATTCTTCTCTTGAAGGATTTCTTGTGTTCGGGGTGGAGTGTTTGGGGGTTTGTGGCTGAGGCAATCTGGGTCTCAAGCACATCTAAGGTTGGGCAATTAGTTCCAGTGCCACTATTAATGTGCTGAAGGGGCGCGCTCAGCGGGGGGTCGAGGGCTCAAAGGGCTTCGGTCCTTTGCTGGGAGGAGGTTTTTTTTCGGGGGGGGGTTGGGGGGAGTGGTATGGCCAACAAAGGTGGGGGTCAGGACCTCAGGGCCATGTGAAAGCTGTCCCATGTCCACTGACCCCCGAGAGCCTGTACAGCCATACTGAAACACGGACAGACGCCATTACAGTCTGCAAACACAGTGTCCTTCTGCATGCACTCCAAGAGCTAAATACATTCAGTTCAAATGTCACATGGTGCGTGTCCATCCGGTGGGTTGGTGTTCACGTTTAGAAAGAATTATTGATGACGCACCGCCATTACAGTGTCTCCTGCAGACGCACTGTCTTCCTGCATGTACTCCAAAAGGAACATTAATTCATTTTAAATTGTACATGTCGTGTGATAACATTTTGGACAAATAATGTATGTGTTTTTTGTGATGATGCCGAACACTTGTTGCCCAATGCATGCAGAAGATTACGCCTGGATTTACTCCTTTGAAACAAATGTTATCACGTTCTTATTTTATGTAAATTGAATACATACACATTTAAATTGATGAAAGTGAACCCTACATGTTATGTGTGTTAAACTGAGTTTCTTTTTCAAAAGCCCTTACATTCATGGGAAATAAAAGATGCAAATAAATTGTTTTGCACAATTGAAGAACTTAATTTTATTCCATCTCATTTAGATTGAATTTATTTTTAATTTTATTTCGATATGTTTATTCCTGTTTTTCCTTTTCTTTATTTTTGAAGCCTGGTTGTTTGTACAAAACATCTTTGAATAAAGATTAAGAAAGCAAACTTTATGTCTGCATTTACTCCACTCCATTATTTCTCTTTCTGCTTCTTCTTGCACTATTATTATTACTATTATTATTATTATTATTATTACTATTATTATTATATTGTAATGGACATTAGATATTCCTAGTTAAATCTATACTGTAGCTAACCTGCATATGACAACACATATTTAAATCTCTGAATCAAGAGTACCGTTTGTACTGTAGAGGCTTGGGTTCACTCAGCGCAGCGAATATGGGCCTTTGCAAACATTGTTTTAAACAAAGGCCTCATTAATGCGAGCCGAGTGCTTAATCAACCTTCCTTCACAGAGACAAATTGACATCTTCAAATGTCTTGCGTTTGTCCGAAGAAGCGTAAAAAATATTAAATTTCTCACCGATATGAAACAAAGAAAAATAAGTGCAACTCGATAGAACCAGGGAATATTAAACAATATCCTTTCGAAAAAAAGCATGCAAAATGACATTACCCTCTACTTTTCATGCTGGAAAACACACGTCTACACATGGAGTACAGCGTGGAGCACGGGGACAGATGAACGCCGCGCTGCACAGACTCTTTGTACGGCCTTTAGCCCACATCTCTCTCCTGGGCTTTGCATCTCCTCGCTGATATGTCAAGGGTATTTAGAAGACAGAAAGCAAGACATATGCAGAGGAAGCGTGATGGCAGCCGTTCTGTTCCTGCATCCATTAGAATGTTATTGTGTATATGTTAGCGAGACTTTGGCTGCCGACTCGTCTCTAAAGCGAGGTGCAGGCGGAGGGACGAGCACGGGAAACGGTAGCTTTTATTGTGTCAATCGGGCTTTAAGCGAACAGTCTTTTATACGATTGAGAACAAGACATTATTCTATGATCCAGAAAGAAAGACGATGAATGGACGGGAGGTTAAATGGATAAACACGACAAGAACATTCGACCTTCTATCCAAGCCTGTAAATATTTACTGTGTGCTTCCTACAAGCCTTGTATTGTATTTTCTTTTTTATTAACGTATATTTATATATATAAAATGCAGGTTGAAGTGAAGTTTATTTGAGGTATCTAACATGTTCTCAATAGCTATGGATTTATTTATTAAACGTAGGAATCTGCCATAGATGTACAGATCATAAATATGTCGTGGAATAGAAGTACTATTCCAAGAAAGTCTTAAAAAATGAATCTTGATATTTTATGTGTGCACAATATGAGCCGTTTCTCTTAGACTCCTTTTTGATTTGGTCAAGGACATCTTGAGGAAAAACATGGACCTGATAACAATAAGTAGTGAAGTCAAAAGTTCACAGGATAAATAAAGAATCTCAACATTGAGCAAATATTAATCTGAACAACGGACTACTTCTCTGATGAAAAGACCAGAGGCCTCATTTATTAGGACTCACGTGGGAAGGTGGCTTACTGTACGTAGGACAAAGCAAATAAATACACACACACATATTCCGATTAAACACTGCGCACGCACGTCCTACACCGGTTTCCCTTTACAAATCACAATCAACTCGAAATGCGGGCTTCACGTAACGCCCATGTTTGCCGATACATAGTCAAAGACACGCCCCGTATTAATATTCATTCAGACTGACTGCAGGAAGACGATCGCAGGAAATGACGACAGAATAGCTAAAAAAATACTCCTCACACCGTGTCAGATTTTGGTTCTTTTGGGGAGGTGGGGATAAATCATATTGTTTGGTGGATGCAGTTTGAACCAGAGTAGCAGCATGGAGGTCGGATCGTCACCAAAATATATAAATAAGTGGTCCGAACAAAAAGTTAATGACAAAATACACATAGCCTTCCTCAGGCAGGGTGTCAGTGTGTTTGTGCCGGGGGACCCCTGCGGAGTGGAGTCAATTCATTTATATTTATTTATTTGGTGGTTTGTGTTCCCCCCCCCCGCAGCAACTCTATATCCACCAGTTAAAAGGAAATAAAACTAATTTGTTGAGTTATATCAGCTGCCAAATCTACCAAATATATGGTGTTCCTAGTTTCCATACCTCCTGTGTTTTACGAGTGACTTATCAAGTCTTAGCAAACGGCATAAAACATGATTAAACGTGATAGTATATAAAACCATGCTCGTATCTACAACCTATAGAAATGCAAAATGGCGTCAGTTTAGAAATTCTGTCCTCCTGCTTACCGCATCATTTATGAGAATTAGAAAACATTTCATAACATTAACACAACATATTCGAGGTGGTTTTAAATAACATATCCGTATTTATTTATGTCTCCAAGTTATGTTTTTGTGTGCACTGAGGAGTCTCAAACAGGTGTTTGTTAAATCATTTTAAGATTGGCTTTAATCAATGTGTGAAAATGAATTCTTCATATGTGATAAATGAGAGGTAACATTTTATTTATGGTATTATTTCCACACATTTCTCTCCATTGTTCCTTCTGCCAACGGTGCCGCTGTTTCTCGTCTCTCCCGTTTTTGTGGATGGGTCAGAGTTTGCGTGGAGGACCGCACGTTTTCCCGTCAAGTTTGTTTTTTATAAATCGCAAACATTGCTTAGAAACTGCCGTACGC